GAAACCATAAAACACCTAGGAGAAGACACAGGAGAAAAGTTTTGAGACTTTATTGTAAGCAATGAGTTGCATTCAGAATATATACAGAACCCTTAAAATTTAATCTAAACAACTCCCCACCAAAAGGGCAGGGCAGTAAAAATCTTGAATAGACAGTTCCTAAAAGAAGAAATTCAAATGGCCACTGAGAACATGAAAAGATGTTCAGTTTCATCAGTCATGTTCTGTACTGGTAAGGCAGAACTCACTCATAGATGACCCTCTTGTAGGTTTTCTTAGGTTCACTAGTCATGTTTTTTTTATTAATAGTAAATGTCATCAAGTTGAGGGCAATTCAGAGTGACTCTATGAACATGTCCTATCCTGCACTGTCCTTAACATCCCAACACATCTCAGCCCATTGCTACAGACACTGTATCAGTTCATCTCATTGAGGATCTGTTTTTTATTCTGTGGTATTAACGAGTTTATTGTTCAAAATGGCTTTCCTTTTTTTTTTTTAAAATGTAAATAGCTTTAAAAAATTTTTGAAGTTACTGTTCACATTTCTTTTTTTTTTCTATAATTATATTTTATTAATTTTCATAAACATTTACAGAGATTTTGGGCTTCCACTCATTCATTGTTGCACTATTCTCTCTACCCTCCTCCCAGTTTGTTCTTGTCCAAATGCCACAGTGCTTGTCAAAGCCAGTTCTGATTAATCTTCTTTGTCAGTGTATCCTTTGCCATTCCCTATCACTCCTCCCTGTAGCTCCTGATGAATTTGAACCACAAAAAAAGGCACCATCTTTAGGCTAGCAGTAAAAAAAAAAAAAAAAAAAAAATGGCTTTCCTAGCCGTTGACTTTGACTTTGCTATGTGTGAACGCAAAAATATATGCCAGTACAGAACATAATGAGATTGCTCATCTTTCAACCTTTGAGCAGCTGGTGGATTCTAATCATGGGCCCCTGGGTTTTCAGTGTAAACCTTTATCCACCAAGCAGAAAACTTTAAAAATCAGCTCAACTCTGTCACATGTTGCTGTTAATCAAAATTAACTTGGCACACAGCACCAACACTATGTATCAAGCACTGAGCCAGGCATGTGGAGACTCCATTAACAAGTCAGGCCTGGTGCTTGACCTTCTGGGGCTTTTTTATTTGTTCAATTGGCTCATTTACACAGTGCATTTCTATAAGAAAAAATATTTTATTAGTCCTTTTGACATCAAACTGTGACATATTTTTTCTGTGCTAGATAAATTATTTTCTCTTTTTCCTGGTTTATTATCCATAATGCAAAGCAATTTTTCAACTGCTAATCTCTTAAATGAGATTGTAGGAAGAATAAGAATCTGGGCTTTGATAACAAACGGAAATGTACCTGAATCCAAGTCCTGCCTTGTGACCTTAAACAAGTTACTCTAAAAAAAGGCCCAAAATTCTGCCATTAAAGGGTTGAAATTACTACAGTAGTTTTGAGTAATTAAATTAGAGAAATTATTTTCTCACCTCCCAAGTGGATAAAATGGCTTACTATTATATTCATCAGTGCTAGTACCGAGTCATAAATGCATGAAGTCTAAATGAAATAATATGATGAGATATGATGTCCGGTTTACATTTTACAAAATTACAACTCGTGCTACTCATATAGACTCTATGGGAAATACAAGAACTGTCTTTAGGGTATTCAAACCTCTTAATTTTTCTGGGAGCAAATCATCTCATCTTTCTCCTGCAAGTTGCCTGGTGGGTTCAACACCTTCAGTCAGCAGACTAATGTTTAATTCACTGTTCCACTAAGGTTGTTTGACTTTTATTCTAATACATGATAGTGCTGTAACTCTTCAGAAAAGTACTTATGAATCCATTTTCATTGCTTTTAGTTACATGTTAATTGTTATTTAAACCATGACATGCACAGCATGGCATTATCAATAGATACTGTCTGTCTAGCTAACTAGTATGCATTTCAAGGCCTAGTTACCATCACACCTGTGACCTTAAAGCACTTTTCCTGAAAGAATAGGATGTTGTGGTTCAGAAAAACATAGGAATAATATCATAGTATAGGTTACTGTGACTAATATAGAAATCATCTCACTGAGTCCAAGTAGACTCATATATACTGACTTTCCATTGGGTTATTACATGCATTAATTTAAGTAGACTCTCTTGTCTTTCTCCTTTGCAGCTCCTGATGAATTTGAACCACAAAAAAAGGCACCATCTTTAGGCTAGCAGTAAAACTACCTACAAACTACACCACCAGATCTTCCTCCATACTAGCTATTATCACTAAAAAAAAAAGTTTCTACTTTGAAGTCAGTCCTGAGTCATAGTTGAGAGTCCTGTGGGTTTATAGAGGCTGTAAATCTCATGGTAAGAGTTTACCCATCTTTCTTCCACAAGGTATGGGTGGATTTAACTGTCTACCTTTGAGTTGGCAGCAGAACTCTTTACCCACTAGGCCACCAGAGCTCCCTAGCTACTAATATTAGCTTCCACTATTTCCGTTCAGAAATTTACTATTATTCACTACCACTGGTGGCCTAGAAGCAAAAATCCTGAAAGTACGCAGTTCAAATCTGTCTACTGCTCCATGGGAGAAGGATGGGCAATTTCCACGTGAGCGATTAACTGTCTCTGAAAACCGACCAGAGGGTCAGCTGTGGGTCAATTCTGACTTGATGGTACACAGCAACAACATTATTTCAATCTAGAAATTCAAACTGGATTTAAACAAGTCTTTGGCATGAAGATTATTGTTGATGTTAGATGGATCTTGGCTGAAAACAGATAATACCAGAAAGATACTTGTTTTGAAGCACTATGCAAAGATACTTCATGTGTGGATCATAATAAATTATGGACAACATCAAGAAGATTGGAAATCTCAGAACATTTAATTGTGCTCATGCAAAGCCTACACATACACCCTAAGAAGCTGTTGTGTGAACAGAGCAAAGAAGCATGTGTTGTTATTGCTGTCCAGTTGAGTAAGGCTCATAGCAACCCTATGAAAAACAGATATGAACCCTGTCCTCTCCTGTGCCTACGTGGTCTAAATCAAGAAAAGTATGAATCAGGGTTGTATCCTTTCTCCATACCTATTCAATCTGTATGCTGAGAAAATCAACTGAGAAGCTAGACTCTGAGAAGAACATGGTATCAGGTTTGCATATAGAATTATCAACAACCTGTGTTATGCAGATGACACAATCTTGCTTGCAGAAAGTGAAGAGAATATGAAGTACTTGCTGCAGAAGATTGAAGACCACAATTGTCAATATGGATTACATTTCAAGAAAACAAAAAGCCTCACCACTGAACTAGTAGTAGGCAACATTATGATAGATGGAGAAAAAAAAATAGAAATTGTCAACAACATTATATTACTTGGATTCTCAATTAACACCCAGGGTAACAACAGTCAAGAAATCAAAGGACAAGTTACTGTAGGGAAACTCTGCATTCAAAGACCATTCTAAAGTGCTAACAGGCTATCAGTATGAAGAGATATTATCGTAAAGAGTAAGGTATGCCTAATTCAGGTCATTGTTTTGTCAGTTATTTCATATGTATTTGAAAGTTAGACAATGAGAAAGGATGACTTAAAAAGAACTGGCTCCTTTGAGTTGTGTTGTTGGAGAAGAGTTCTGAATAACCTTGGACTGTCAAAGAAACAAATCATTTCTTTTTGGAGAAAGTATAATCAAAGTGTACTTTAAAGATAAAGATGAGGAAACTTTATCCTACCATACTTTCAGCATTAGTCAGGAGGGGCTAGTTCTTGGAAAAAAAATAATGTCATGGTGGAAAATTTGGAGGATCAGAGAAAGGGGGAAGATACTAGGAAAATGAATCAACACAGTGACTAGAAAGACGGGTTCAGGCATATCAAGCGATTATGAGGATGACACTGAATAGGGCAAGGTTCCGAGCAGTTGTTTATAGGGTGCTGTGGGTTGTAGTTGACTTGATGGCACCAAATGACAACAACATTATTTCTATATGGAGTCCTCGTGACCTGTTAGGGGTTATCCTACTAACATAAAGGTGGTGCCTGTATAGTGATTTCAACCTCTCAGCACCTCCAAGAATGAAAGATGGATAGTCTCCTTCTGTTCCATTTATAGCTTCAGAAAACATTGCTGAGAGTCAGCTATGAGTCAGTTTCAGCTTGGTAACAATAAGTTTGAGGGTCAGGTTTTAATCAATATTGAGTGTATACTGTATACTGGCTATCCTTCTCAGTACAATATCAAGTTTTGTATTCCCATGATCAGTCAGAGTACGTGGTTCTAACACCAAACACCTAACAACTGTAATGTTGTATAGGAGGTGATCACACCCTAGACGAAGGATTGTGAGAAGCTCATCCAACTGCTCTTACATCGATTTGCGGAAACAATGGCTAAGGAGGAGGAGTAGCACAGTATTGGTCTCTCAGAAACATCGTTGCAATAAAAGCAGTGACTTTTCAAAAATCATTTTTGAACTATCTTCTGAAAATAACCAAAAGTTATTATCATTTCAAGATTGAACGTCCTTTGGAAAAATAAAGACAAACTTTAACAGATTAAAAGATAGAGAGAGAAACATCACATTGTCTTTCAATAGACCGTTAAATGTTTCTTCAGAACAAAATAACTCATTAAAAGGGGCATGCTGTCCTTTAATACACCAATTTACTCATCTAATCATGTAATCAGTTTAGTGTCCCAAACAACTGAATTTAAATACTGTTTAATTTAGTAGTCATGTTGGCTTATGGAAATTACTGCTTGTCATGATTGCCTGTGGAGAAAGAACAAGGAGATGGGAGAATTGGACAAGGTCATTTCACTGTTCTGGAGTCAGACTATCAAAAACATGTCTAGATTTATAAATTAAGAAACTCGGCAACAGAAAACTATTGTAGTTGTCATTTAAAAGTGAAAACAAGTCTTTGGATTCATTAAAAAAATAGAAACTTATAGGTGCTCTGAAGCTAACAAGAAGTCACTTACCAGTCTCAAATACCTCTGTATTTTAGACTCCACATCTTCAATGTGTGAAATTGTTTTGTTGACACATGGTGCTGGGATGTTTACGACAGAGCAGCTGTGACGTCGACTTGGGTAGCTAAAGTAAATGCTTTTAGTCCCCTCTGTAGACACAACAGACAGCAGGTTAGTTCTATATAGTGTAGCAATCCTTCATATTCAGCATACAGGCAAATAGTTTTATTTACTAGTCCTAATACTATTAAAGTATTATAAGTTCTTTATATGAATTTATTTATGAATTAGATAAATGCATCACAGAATGAACTCTCAAGAAGTGGAAAATCTCAAGCCAAGTACTTATTTACAGCTTAATAATATGACAAATGAACCTAAAATACCTTAATGAAACCTGACACAATAATGTACTGCATTGCAACAAGAAGGAAACAATTTTTTAAAAAAATATAGAAAATCACTATTCTAGCAGTTTCTGAATAGATTAAGGATCACATAGAAATAACTTTGAATTATATTTTAACTACTCTTCAAGGAGATTCGACATCTTCCCATGTAAATAATAGTTACTCATTTATACATTGAAGAAGTTCCTCCTTAAATCTAGCATACATTTTTCTTGCTGGAGAAAAACAAAAATCAAAGCAGGTCTCCTTCATTCTCATAATAACCTCATTTCTACCTTCCATTTCAGAAAATTGGAGTTACATGTGAAGAGTGATTGATGTTCCCACTACAGTGTTCAAGCTGTACTCATCATAAAATCCACTCAGTTCGATGTGGCTCAGTGATTCTAATCCCGGCATGTTCCGAATCGACTGAAGGTTGCAGAAGTACAGCAGAGTTGCCTATGAAACTCCACCGAAGTGCAAACTTGCAGTCCTTTTGATTCTAAAATCTCTGCTGGCCTGGATTACAGTTGCAATCGCTGATCTTAAATGGGATCACAAAATAGGCTCAGTGCCTCAGTGAAACCAGTGTCATGTCCTCATTTCAGTTGACCTTGAGCAATAGAAAAGGAAAGCTGTTGTGTCCAGATTGTGCCTTTTAGGTCAATGCCAACTCAAAGAGAGTGGCAAATCCATTAGCTCACCTCACTTAAATTACAATATTTTATTATTTTTAATTGAATTCCAGTAATATATTCAAATACACACAAAAATCACTTAGAAAGTGAAATATGTCTTTCATTTATGAGAAGACAATTAGCTTTATTATACATGAGGGACTCTGGTGATGTAGTTGCTGTTAACCCAAAGGCGGTGTCTCTCTAACAGTTTGAAATCACCAGCTGTTTCACTGAAGAAAAAGATGAGCACTATCCTCCCATGCATTTTTCAATCTCAAAAACTTACTGGAGGGTCATCTATGAGCCATTCCAAATCTATGGTAATGTTTGGGGAAAGGATGGGTATCTTGTCCTGTGCAATTGAATTGCTTCTGAAAACCCATTCCAATTCCAACTCTATGCCATGACAATGAATGAGATAGATGACAGATAGATAGATATAAATATTTTGAGCTCTAAAAAGATACATGGCATTAAACAAATTGTTCTTTTAGATATCAGTTGTGTTGTTGTTGTTCTGTGCCATTGAGTTGCCTACAACTCATAATGTCCTTATGAACAGTTACCCTCACTACCCAAGTTACTGTATCAATATATTTCCTCCAAGTCTTCCTTTCATTTGCTGATCCTCCACTTTCCAAGTATGATGTCCTTCTGAAAGAACTAGTCTCTTCTGACAACATACTTAAAGTATGTGAGATGGCGCTTCAAAACTCTTCGCTCCGAAGAGCAATTGGTTTCACTTTCTTCAAGACAGACCTGTTCATTCTTTTGACAGTATAGGGTCTCCTCAGTACTCTTCTCCAGCACCAAAACGCAAAGAAATTTTTTTTCATTGTTAGTCTAGCTCTGAAATGCATAGCAAGAAATTGTGAAGACCATTACCTGGACCAAGTGCATTGTATTCTCTAAACGGACATTGTTGCTCTTCATCACTCTGGAGAGGTCTCTAATAGCAGACTTTACCATTTTTTTATTTCTTGACTGCTGGTGCCAACAATGTTGAGATTAGACACACCAAACATATACAAATTTGCAATCTCTACGTGAACTATTTGTTGTTCAATGTGTATTACACTATCAAGTTAACTAAAACTCACAGAAATCAGAAATTTGGCCCATCTGGTGACATCCTCACAATCTTTGATATGCTTAAGTCCATTATTGCAGTCACTGTGTCAATTCATTTTGTTGAACGTCTTACTCTTTCTACTACTTTCCACTTTCCCCAGCATGATGTCTTTTTTCAAGAACTAGCCACTCCTCACAACATGTCCATCTTTCCTCTAAGGAGCGCACCATAGCTTCACTTTCTCCAGGACAGACTTGTTTGTTCTTTGGGTAATTCATAGTACATTCAACACTCCTCACCAATGCTGTAAATCAAAGTCATTTCTTTTTCTTGGGTAATCTTTAATCATTGTCCAACTTTCCGATGCATAGGATCAATTGAAATTGCATAATTTAGAAATGTTTATTACATTATTCATGTTGTTCAACCATTCTTATCTTTTATCAGGGACAGAGTAATTCCCTCTCAAAAATGTGTATGTTATAATTTAATGAGAAAGTTATGTAATAATCATGAATAATCTGGTAAACCAATAAATAATGAAGGGATTATGGTGAAATTCAATACCATTAATATCATCATGAGGCAATAGGGATTGGTGTGTCAGAATTAGTGAGACTGGCTCAGGACAGGAAAGGGTTCAGAGTTGTTGTACATAGGATCGCTATGCATCATTATTCAATTATAATGATTAATAAATTGTTATTCAGATTTAAGATGATATTACATTGATATGTGCTGTAAAGTAAAAAAAGGATACATAGATTATCTTCTAGTGGATTTTCAAAAGCTGTACCTTGCACAAGAGGAGATTTCTCATCTTTTTTCCATAGAAATAGCTGGTGAATTCAAACTGCATGTCTTTGAGTTGACAGCACAACTTCTTACTACCAGGACACCAGAACTTCCTTAAGATGATATTAGGGAATACATTTGGTTCAAAGTTAAATGATTGCTTACTAGTTTCTGGAAGTTCATCTAGCTTTCATGGTTCCAGAAAGTCTAGTTCTTGTTAAATTTCATCAGATCAACTAGAACTCTTAGTGATCAACAGGTCAAAACATGCCCTATCCTGTGTCATCCTCATAATCTCCACTGAACTCAAGCTAGTTTTTAACAATTAGAAATGGAGGCGGAACTACACTAACTGGCTCTCATGCTCTGTCTTGTTGATTTCAAGGACCAGGCAGCTATGGGGCAAGAAGGGAAGCAGGTAGATTGCTGACTACAGACGCAGTCTCTGATGCAGGGCCCTTTGTACCAACTCACAGCAGGTTTGCAAATAACAGTATCCAGGTGGGTGAGATGCTGTCATGAACCAAAAAAAGACCTTGGAGGATGTTCGTTTTGTTGTTATCAGAGTATATCTGTAATATTTTGTCAACCAGAATAGCTTACACTTAAAGATGATTCCTTCTCAGAGCACGTTAGCCTCAGTCAACACTAACGGAAAAGAGGAGCAGACAGGCCTGATAAAACTCCCCAGAAGGTCTGTCCAATTGGTTTTAGAAGCATCAGCTATGAGATGTGTTGGGATACAGCGAGTAATGACTACAAGAACTGACTAGTGTGTGAGCCTTCTGTGGCAATTTGCAATAGGCTAGGAAGCAACAGTATTCAAGGGGAGCAGGTGTTGGTACACTCTAAGTGAATCCTTTGTGAGGTCTGCTTTGTTTCTAGTAGAGGGAATATGTTAGTTATGACTATTGTTGTATGTTTTTAAGTCAGAACCGACCCATAGCGGTCCCTCCAGTGGGTTTTCAGAGGCAATAAATAGCATGGAATGAGATTGCACATTTTTCTCCTGCAAAGTAGCTTGTGTGTCCCAAGCATGTACCTTTAATTTGGCAGTTCTTTACCATTAACCGATGAGAGTTGTGGATGTATCCTCAACAAGATGTTGCCTCTAAGATACCTGCTTACCTCACACACAGTTGCTTCAGGAAGGCAGACAGACCTGAACTGACACCCTGGATTTCATGTCCTGTTAGTGCCAAAGGGCTGAGCTGTAAGATACACAGGTATAGTTCTGACTGTGAGAGCAGACTCCATTGTACAAGTCATCTGTAGCAATTGACAGTAAACCAGGATGTCTTGAGGAGATGTTGACACACTTCAACTGCCTTCCCAGGGAGATTTGCTTTGTTGGTTGTAAGACTGAATCATGGAATCCTTTCTCCTCATCCATACAGAAGCTGTCACAGGGGAAAAGACTCCTTAGACTATTTTCTAATTCACAGCAGTTGGTGACTCGTGCCTTGGGGTGGGAGAAGAAATCTTCCTACTGTGTGAGACTCAGATTTGTTAATTCTTGCCTCTGTAGTTTCCCACTGCTTTCCTCTGCTCTCAGATACTGAATATCACAAAGTTGAGCACAATTTCATGTTTATGTCTTGTTCTGTTTATGGAGGACTATGGAAAAGATCTCTTACATGCAAACGTTATTTTACTTGTAATTTCAAGATAGTTATAGATACTTCTAAAAGCCATCCAAAGGACCCTTAGGTTAAGAACCCTTGTTAGACTTCAGCACAGAACTGTATATTTGCATAAAAAAATAAGTAATCTTTGCACTTACGTGCACAAGTACTTTCATATTCATTCTGTTTGACCTTTCTTGTAATCCAATGAAGTTAGATGATAGTCACGAAATAGAGGTTCATGAATTTTTAACACCCCACAATCTCTAAAAATATCTCTAATGCTTTTTTTGGATCCCCAGTCAGTTTAGCACTTTTGATGCCACATTTTATTTAATTTTCACAACAATCTCCTGAAATAGATTTACTCTCATGAGTCACATTTAAGGAATTTAAGGCTTAGAGAAGTTACATAACTTGCTCAAAGTCACAAAGCTGGCATATGGGAGAGCTAGAACTAACATAAACTATACTATGAAGAGAGATCTCTGTTGGCTTAGCGATAAGTAACTGTGCTGTCAACCCAAAGAATTACAGTTCAAATTCACCAGCTGCTTTGCAGGGAAAAGATGAACAATTTCTTCTTGTACAATTTACTGCCACAGAACACCAACTGGAAGGTCAGCTCTGAGTTGGTTCTGCCTCCACAGCATGTAACAACGATACTGTGAAGATTAATTTTATATCTAAATATATAGCTAAATGAAGATAGAGATAAAAAATCACCTTGCTTTTGCCTAACACTTGCTTTCAAATTAGAATTATTTTTCATCATTGCTGAGTTGATATTCTAAAGGCTTCTAGTGTGCTTTAATCATACATTGAACACATATACACTTGTGCTAGACACATACCCTGTGTGTGTTAAACACACCTGTGTGTTCTATAATACTGTGCTACACAAACACACCCTGTGTGTGCTAAATGATAACTTTCCACTTTAATTGCATGTGGATATATATGTTCATCTCTATAATAACCAAAGAACCAAAGAACTAGCATATTAAAATTACATTTTCTCTTCTATCCAAATCTCTTAATGAGTGCACATTGTCCTTCCTCTAAAAATAAGATTTAGGTGTATTTTTAACAACAAAATAGTTGCTCTTATACTAAAAACATTTGTTTTACTTCATTAAACATGAGGAAAACTAATTCCTCTTTTAATATTTTTCTTATATATGGAACATTCAACCAATGTTTAATACTAATTAATTTCTACAGTTCTCTCATGAATTGTAATTAACATTTTACAAATGATCAAGTGGGAAAAATTAAATACTGTGATGAAAAACTTTACATTAAAAGTTTGTAAGAGACATGAAGTAATAGAATCCACAAAAGATCCAATGACATTTAAGTAGAGAAAATAATGCAACAATGAATGAATGGAAATCCAAAATCTCTGTAAACGCTCATTAAAATTAATAAAATGTAATAAAAATTAAAAAAATAAAGACACACACACAAAAAAATTTCAGTCACTGACTTGTTTTATGCCAGTTGATAAATTAACACTTTCTTTTCCTTTTAAACTTTAATAAGCTTAAAAAGACAACATGTTGTAAACAAAAGGTCATTCGAGTAGGTACACATTATCAATCCTTTATATATTTAAACTAGTTGAGCATTGTTGGTTAGAACTATTCAGTCTATAAACCTCAGAGTTCTCATTTAGTAAATTAATCAGTTGGTAGGAATTGATCTAAGATCTTTCCCACCTAATGTTGCTGAACATTCAAAACAAAGGTTTTAGACAAGCACAATTTGATAGAGCTCCTCCTTATGAAGTCTGATTCCAAATGGCCAAGATGAATATTCAATTAAGTTCAAGCAAGACTCTAATTTTCCAGGAACACCCTTCTTCAACACTAATTCTCTTTTTCAGGATTAATGTATTAAAATCAAGATTCTATCAGCTCTTGGCCAGAGTTGAGATCTTCTGAAAGCTGCGAGATGAAATATGGACTAACTTATGTGAACAAATTAAGTAGGAATGCTGTGTTTGTAAACTGTCTACTTTCCCTATTGTTGCTGTTGTTGTTTTTAGGTGGCATCAAGTTGAGCCTAATTTATAGCAACTGTATGAACAACAGATTCAAATCTTATCCTAATCTATGCCATCCTCATCATCGGTGATACACTTGAGCTCACTGCTGTAATCACCATGATTATCCATCTCATTGGGACCTTACTCTCTTTTGCTGACCCTCCATTTTTTCCAAACAGGAGGTCAATTTCTAAAAAACAGCCTCTCCTAGACACATATGCAAAGAATGAGAGACAAAATTTGTTATCTTTGCCTTCAAGGAGTACTCTGGCTGAACTTTTTAGTATATTATTATATATCATTAATGAGAACTGTTAATTATTTCAACATTTCTTTTTAATATAAAGTATATTGTGGATAGTTGTTGTTGTACATAGGGTTTTCAGAGGCCTGCCATTTCAGAAGTGGATGGCCAGTCCTTCTTCCTAGTCTGTCTTAATCTGAATGTTTAGATTTAGAGTATTGAATGTACCATGGACTGCCAAGAAAACAAACAGATTCATCCTAGAGAGGGTTAAACCAGGCTGCTCCTTGGAGGCGAGGATTCTGGGGCTTCGTCTGACATACTTTGGACATGTTGTACGGAGAGACAGGTCTTTACAGAGGGACATCATGCTGGGTAGAGTAGAGGGACAGCGCAGGAGAGGAAGACCCTCTATGAGGTGGATTGATTCAGTGACTGGGGTAATCGGGATGGGTGTGTCAGAGGCAATGAGATTGGCACAGGATAGAGCACGGTTTAGGGCTGTTGTACATAGGGTCGCTCTGAGTCGCAAACGACTCGACGGCACATAACAACAACAACAACAACATATTGTGCATAACATAAGATCAAAAGTTACTATAAATATATTTTATGTAAGCTATTCTATAATTTATGCTCATTTCTCACCTTCAGTAATTGTTGCACTATTTTCAAGCGAAATCTCAGGAATATTGTTTTCTAAAAAGAAAAACATTTCAGTGAGGATTAGGTTTTTAAAAATAAGTAGTATAACGTACAAAACTTTTGTATATAAAGTGTTATAAAAGTGATGTCCCTGAAAAAAAAACTTAATAATAAGAAAAATGATAAAATAAATATTAACTAAAACTGCCTGTTGTTAGTATTAAAATGACAAGTCATTACATTCTGACATATGATATTTATTAATGTCATTATGTGTTAAGTTCTATTGGCTCATTTGTCTTTGAAATGGGTACAAATTCAAATTTGTGGATTTCTTCCATATGGTTGGCCAGGAAGCTGACTTCAAAATTTCTTGGTGTCACCAAGAGAGAAGGGAAGCATATACTTGTTACGTGCATTTCTTAAAATATTCAACTACTTAAAATATTTTAATTGTATCAAAAACAATATGAATTAAGACTAGTGTGAAACACAACATACACAAACTTTGTGAGAAAATCAATATAAAATAAAAAAAATTTCAAGATAAAATTAAGCAAAAAAAGATGAATTATAAACATTGCAAAAAGAAACTTGACAAATACAAAAGTCATTATCAATAAGTAAAAATGTTTCCCTTTTAAAAATTAAATTAACAAAACTCTGACCAAAAAAATCTGGAAAATTGGACAGGAAGCCTAAATAACTAATACAAAATTGAAGAAAGAGAAGATTATGTGCACACTCCTGAAAAAAATCATTAGAAGATAAATTTGCCAAAGTAAATTACATTCTTACAAAACAGAATATTATTTGTAATCTATATGTGCTATTTGCCCAGTTATTATCGTGATTATGCTTTAAAAACATATGTTCATATGTATACATATAGGGAAAGAAAAAAATAAAATTGTTTATATATAGCGCAACTGTGTCTCTAGAAAACTCGTAGCTACAGAATAAAAATGACTGATAAGTATTCTGGAAAAAAAGCCTCACCACAATTACAATAACAATCTATTATGAGAGATAATAAAAACAGAAAGCAGCATCACAACTGCAAAAAAAAAGTTCAAAATTTCCACTACAATCGTGAAAATAAAAAATAGGTTAGAAGTGATTTGACAACAAAACAACAACAACAACAAAACAAACAACTAAATTAAAAATATTTGGAGTGCTAGAAAATATTGCCAAAAAATAAAAATGTTTAAGCAAACATGTATGTTAATTACGTTCCCATTTAGGACAATTTCCTGCAAAAGTGTCTTGTTTTCCCAGTGTTTATAACAAGAGGCACGGTGGTAAGGAGTTGCGCTGCTAACCTGGTGGCATGCAGATGAAATGCTGGAGAAGGATGGGCAATCTCCTCCCATACAATTTACTGCTCCTGAAAGCTCACTGGAGGATTAGCTATGACTTGTTTCTGACTCAATGATATGTAACAACAGAAACAACATTTTGTAAATAACTCAAGAATTACCTTTCAAGTTTTTAAATGATCAATAACATTCTTAAAACACCTGAAATAATAATAAATATGTATATACATTTGGTTTGTGCAAGAAACCTATCTTTATATTCTTAAATATTTAAAAAATCTAGGGAAGTAACGTCAAATGTCTGTTCCAAGGGAAAAGGCATATCAAATATTTAAGACTTTCTATTCTATATAACTATGGATGTGTACCAAAAATGTTATAAATTAAAAAATAAGACACTTTTAATAAATATCCCAAGTAATTAAAGAATTAATATAAGGTTTGGATTTAAACTCTAAAATCAAAGTTTCTGAATTTGTCCTTATATTTACCATATAAAATGCAGAAAGAACATGCCAATATCTAATGCAGCTAAAGCTTTGTCCTAAATTCCTGATGTGAGTTCTGATACTTATCTCCTTCAATATAGGATAGGTTTTAAGAGGGCAGGAAACATACCTAAATAAACACTGTACATCAGTCACCAAGCAAAGGTATTAACAAATATGCAAAGAGGAATGAGACTATAAATGAAGGATTGAGGAAGTAAATTTGGGTGAAATTATAATCACACTAAAAATAGTTTCATTATAGAACCATCCATGTAATGGACTATTAAACAGAGTGACTAAAATAAAACAATGCTTTCAAGTTTCCACCTGGATGATCAGGCAGCATTGTTATACAAAAATTCCAACAACATGTGCTCATCCAAACTGTCCTACCAGTAAATCAATATACCAGGAAATTTCTAAAGGATTAAATAATTAAATCATTTAAAAATTAATAATAATGTTGTTGATTGTCTTCAAGGTTGGGCACAAATCATAGCAACCCTAATAACAAAAGGCCTCTACAACTATCAACATTTATCAAAGTTCGTAGAGTTTCCGGAGGCATGTTATTTTAGAAGTGATGCCACTCCTGCTTCCAAAATAATAATTTTTACAAAAACTAACATGATAATATAACATTGCATCATAAATTATTCAAAATTAATTGAGACAGAAAGATGATCATTTTATCAAGTTTTAATCAAGACAGAAACTCATAAAACAGCACTGGTAAAACGGTTTCACTAAAATAATGGAACAAAGAGAAATAATAAATAAAGCTTTCATTTATATTGGTTAAAAACCTTCAAGATTCACCAATTCATCATCAGCAATTTCATTAGAGAAATAAAAAGATTAAATGAACACATGGAAACTCTCTAGTAATGAAAATGAAAGTAGTTTTAGATTTGATAAATTAGCTACTTAATAGTGAAGACATGGAATATGGTATGCTTTTGCATTATTGATTCATTCACCCAATGGTGTTTGGGTAAATTGTTGGAAAGAACTAAAGAATCTATGTAAAGAACCATGAAAATATTCCAACTATGTGTCTTACTAGACATTCCACTTCTGAATGCTTATACTTAAACCAAAACTGCTGTTAGGTACAGTCAAGTCAGAATTAACTCATGACTGACCCTCCAGTTGGTTTTTAGAGGAAGTAAATCATACCAGCGATAGACCATCTTTCTCCCACTGAGCCACTGGTGCCCTCAAATTGTGTGCGTTCTAGTTGACAGTGCAAAAAGCCACTAGAGCTCACTGTTACTTTTGGGTAAAATCAAAGCTGATACAAGGGGCAAGTTATACATATATGTCAGAGAAAATGGTGACATAAGGAACTCTGAAAATCTACAACTCTTTAAAAACAGGAAAGAAAAAGATAAAATTGTCAAAATCAACTTTTTATAACTCTAAGAATGTATTGAAGTCTTCTAACAGCACCAAAAGCATCAATTCAAGGAAAACAGCTGAAACTTGGTAAAAACATTGAGTTCTGTGACATTTTAATTTATCACAGTCCCATCTTCTCTCTCCAGCTCCATGAGTCGCAAATAGGAGCCCACATTCCTAATACCAGATAGCAGAACACAGGTGAGGGAATTAGTATTAGATCCATCTGGTTCTCTGGTAGATTCAACTTAGTGGTGATGTGTACAATGAGGAAAGACTTGTGAAGGCCAGTGGTGTTAAGAGTTTATTGTTCAAAATGGCTTTCCTAACCATTGGCTTTGACTTTAGCATGTGCATGAGTGGAGACATGAGGGTATGATAGTGTTTTCGCATGGGAATTGGCTAGTCTTAGGTGATTCTGTAGCAGAATTTGAGAATCTCAGCACCAGCAAAGAACACACAAGAGAATATGGAGCACCTTTCAGAGCCAGAGATTGTCATGCTGGCCAGATCTACAGAAGAGCAGCAGCTGCCAAAGCAAAGAACCAGATGCCCAACATGAGACAGAGCTAACTTTGGGACTACTACCTCATGGAAAGGAAGATCCACAAAGACATGAATTGACACTGTGACTTCAGCAATGAGTCCTAGTGTCTCAGAAGTGGTGGAGGAAGGCACAGCATAGTGCAGGTTTCAGAATGGCTGTTCATAAGATTGCTATGAGTCATACTCAGCACTTAACAACAACAACAACAACCACCTCATGGAAACAGAGTTAAGAGCCTTTGCCCACATGTGTTAGATGGCTGTGGGAGAAAATCCATGACTGGCAGGATTAAGAGCTTTCTAACTCCAGCCTAGAGCAGATAGAGTGGAGGCTGGGCCTGCAAGTGCATTTTGGAAACTGCCCTCACTAACTTATTGTATCTTGCTGACCACTTGAATCATAGTCTTTTTGATATATGGTTCTGTGTGGTCTGTGAGCTATTGCAAAGGATTTTAGACCCAGTACAGCCATAATATTGGTGTTGGAATGAACAGAAAGAGGTGCAGGAAATGAGGGACATGCCTAACCTCATGGGAACTGGTTTTGTGCTGTGGATGTGGCTAGTGTGAACAGGTCCCCTTAATAGAATTAAATATCTCATGAAATGTTACAATTCTAATAGTATAACTGTCAACGATATTTGAGCTCTGGTGGTGTGGTCTGTAGCAACTTGTGTTGCTAACCCAAAAGCTATACAACTTTGCTGATTTGAATTTATCAGAGGCTTTGTGAGGGAAAGATTAAGAGCCTCATCCCATTGCAATTTACAACCTCAGAAGTTCAACGGAGAGTTGCTAAGGGTAAGAACCAACTTGACAACGTTGATTCAAGTTTTAGTAATGATCATTCTCATTTCTCCCTTGACATAAGGAGCTCTGTTTGTCTTGTGGGTAGGGAGTTGAGCTGCCGACCCCAAATCCACCAGCTACATCTCAGGCAATCTCTTTCTGTGCCATGTACAGCCTCTGAAAACCCACTGGAGGATCAGCTAAGAATGTGTTCTGACTTGACAGCATACAACAACCACCACAACACTCAACATATAATAAATAGATTATAAACTCAAAAGTTAGTGTAAATGCAGTTTATGGACTCTATTACACAATCTTTGCTCATTTCTTTTTTTAAATAAACTTTTTCATTTTAATTGTGCTTTTAACAAAATTTTACAGAAAAGTTAGATATTCATTCATTCATTATTGCACATTTTACCCCCTCTTCTTCCCTCAGTTCTGCCTCTCCCAGTTCACTTTTATGTGTTGTTTTATTATTATTATTAATTTTATTGAAAGTTTATAGAGAATTTGGATTTTCATTCATTCATTGTTGCACTTTTCTCCCTGCTCAAGCCTCCCCCTCAGTTCGCTCTTCTCTTTGAAAAGTAAAAGAAAAATTCTTTCTTTGCTCATTCCTTACCTTTAGTAATTACACTGTAGTCTGGATAATTCTGCCCAGCTTCATCAGAAGCTTCTTCTTCTAAAAAAATTAAAACTTTTGAGTGAATGGTTAATATATTTTAAAGGAATTAAGAAATTTACCAAATTATAATGTGAAAGTAAAGTCTTTTAAAAACTATTATTCAAGTATTAACTAAAAGGATCTGTTTTAAAATGAAAGTGACGAATGAGCTGGCATATGTGATGTTAATAAAATTGTTTGATAAGTTCTGCATTTTGTTATGCCATCTTTCTTTAGAACTGACATGAATATGGATCTTTTCTTGTTGAAAACATTGAGTATGTGACTGACTTTGAAATATAATTGTATCAAAAGGGAAGTACTTTCAAAGTAGCATTCATATGCTGAAATATTTCACATGGTTGAAATATTTCAAGAAAAAAATGAAAGGACATACACACAAATATAAATTATAATTACATGTAGTGAGAAGAAACTCACAAATAAAAAACCAAAAATGCCAAATAAATCCAAAGATTTTTCCTTTTCTAAAGTCGAATTGCCAAGAAGATTTCCAGAAAGGATGATGGACTACAAAGACAAAAGTTCAGACCCTCCTCACTGAAGACACACAAATTCAGATGATAATTCTGAACAAAGAGTTGGTTTGGGGGTTTTTCCACTAGGCCACCAGGACTCCCTGGGACAAAGAGTTTTAAAAGACAAAGAAGTACTTTGAACATTGATGAAAGGAATAAAAGGAATGAAAATATTTAATAAGGAGAATGGTGGAACACAGATCCATGAACAATACAATAGCTGTTCTCAGCTTGAGAACTTAAATTAAGTGAGACTCACATAGTAGATCTGATGACAAGAAAGGTGTGATGTCCTTCTTAGTCCCAGGTGCTTGTTTAAAGATCAGGGAAATTATCATCTGACTACCACGACCCCTCATGCTGTTGGAAGTGTTCTCTTGGCCTGTCACAACTCCACCTGAGGCTAGGCAGGCCATTTTGTAACTGGAGACAGTAGCACACAGACCTCTACATTTTTCCTCCAAGAGCTGGTGAATTATGCCATGCTTGGCAGTGCCCTCTTAGGGAGCACCATCTCTGACTGAGATCCTTGTCTCTCACTCAGCACCCCTGCTCAGCATATACCATGCTCACACTTGGAGCAGGGCTTCCTTTCCTAAGTGTACCATCCTTGGACACAGACTACCTCATCGTGCTACCTGTCTCTGGCTGGGTAACCTGCCTCCATCCATCCCCTAATCTGACACTCTCCTTAACCACGTGGACTAGACTAGGCTCCTCTGAAGCCAACAGAAACTGCCCTAGGCTGAATATCCCATCCCTAGATACTCCCTTGACCAGAAGATGTGCTACTCATGACTCAGCTCATAACTTAGTGCCTCAATTAACTCTCAGATGAGCAGGTAGTCTGACTGGGAAACACAATACTGATATTCCTCTGGTCTTCCTTATATACTGTCTCAGGGCAGGCATCTTGTCTTCACAAACCATAGCAATGACAAGAGCACCAATCAGGTGTCTAGTTCACCCGCCTCAGTGGTCCCTCCTTTTTTCCCTCTTACTTTTTACTTTTCGCAGTTTATTGGAATTTTGCTTGCTGGCTTGTTTTCTGTTTTGCTCTTGTGCAGTTTTCTCCTCCTTTATTCAAATTTTCCACTTTCTATTCTCTCTTGATTGTTTCTTCTTTTGCATTGCCAGTCTCTCTTTTCCTCCTCTTTTCTCTTTTCTCTTCTCTCTTCTCTTCTCTTCTCTTCTCTTCTCTTCTCTTCTCTTCTCTTCTCCTCTCCTCTCCTCTCCTCTTCTCTTCTTTCCTCCTCCTCATCCTCCTCTTCTTCTCCTTCTTCTCCTCCCTCCCTCCTTTTCTCCTTTTTCTATGTTTTGCTTTTTTCAGATTATGCTTCACTTTGTACCCTTTCCAGTGCTTCTAGTTTGGAATTCTCTTTCCTTTTACAGTCTAAACATTTTTTAAGTTGTTTTCTGGTTTTTATTTGCTTCTCTCCTGTTTTTATTTTGTGTTTTGTCTCATCTGACACCACCCAGCAACAGTATCTAGACACACATACACCTCTGGAAGCCATCAGACCAGACTTCTGGCCCATCTGATTGGCAAGTAATTGCAAGCAACAGTTCAGTCTGCTCTCCACCACAGGAACCAGAGAACTGCACACACACTTTCATCTTCTCTTACACACAGAAGAAGACAGGAGGTGATACATTAACAATTACCAAACTAGAAAGGGATGAAACTTATTCACAAAGCTCATACATGAAGCCAAATTAACACAAAAGACACCATAATCTCTTGAAAGCCACACGTAATCTCAACTCAATCAAATAAAAAGTAAAAGATGGAATAAGAAAATGATCAAAATACAGAACTAGATTTTTTTTCTGAGTAAGAAAACCTGATGGACCTTGATGACAAGGAATTCAAAAGAATGGTACTTTTGTTGCTTCAGTTGGATTGAGAAAATATTTGAAGAAACCACAGACAAAATACATGAAAACAGACAAAACTCTCAGAAGAATTTTAAAGAATTATATAAGACCAAATAGATTAAAAATGAGAAGCAACACAAAATTAGCAAATTGTAATTCAGACTACTAAGACTAAAACTTTAGAAATAGATAACACCTTGGAAGGGAAAAAGAAAAATATTCAATAAATGGAACACAGACATAGTAAAGTACAAATCTTTCAGTAGTGATATTTTAGAGGAATAATCAGAAAAATAAGAGATAAACACTAAGAAATAGGAAAAACCAAGGATGACAGCACCAACTGCAAAAACCTAGACATGATTGGAATTCTTGAACAAGAATAGACCAAACTAAGTACAGAAGAAAGTTGTGGATATTTTAAGGTTTGTTGTGTTTTTTTCTCTTTTTATATACTTATTATTAATTTTAATGAAAGTTTACAGAGACTTTGGATTTCCATTCATTAAAATTTAAATTCAGTATAATTAGTAGCCTACATATCAAACCAACATTACTCTCAGTAAAGAGAAATTGAAGTCATTCTTCTTACAAATGGGAAATATACAAATATAACTTTTATTACTATTCCTCTTCAAGATTGTATTTGAAGCTTTAACCAAAGTAATAAGGAAAGAAATAAAAGACACCCTAACAGGAAAAAAAGAAGTAAAATATTCTCTATTTGTAATTGATATGATATTATACATAGAAAATCTCAGCAATACAGAAAGAAAAATCATGGATATAATTGACTGTTAAGTCACTGACACCTTCAGTCTTTCTCCATATATTATGATATTCAGGAATAAGTCTAACCAAACAAAAAAAATGCTAATAAAAAAAAATCTACGAACACTACCCAAAGAATCTCAAGGAGACTTGTATAAATGGAAGAATATATCACTTCACAAAACACAGAATATCATGGATGAATCTAGAAGGTATTCAAATAAATTGATATGTTCTAGTATTTCTGCCTGGGGGATTGTTATTGCTACACAAAAACTCCAAATGCATGTGCCCCTCAAAACCACTCTACCAGTAAAAGAATGTATCAAAGCAAATTTCTAAATGATTAAGTGATTTTAAAATTTACAGTATTCATTTTTAGATAAATTTGCAAATGTGCTGCTGTTGAATCAGAACCAACTCATAGCTGACCGACCCTCTAGTATGCTTTCCAAGGCTGTCAATTGCATGGGAGGAGATTGTCCATCTTTCTTTTAATGAATATTTAATGAATTTGAAATCTAAGAAAGACACATAGCCTTTGGGTTAGCAGCATAACACCTTACAGACTAGACCATCAGAGCTCCCTAGAATAAGAAATTAATAATAATAATAATAATAATAATAATAATAATAATATTTAAATTTAATCACTTTGTATATAATTACATGTTATAAAAAGGACAATTTTAGCAACTATTAATCACTCCAGAAATGCACAAAACAGAGTTGGGGAAAAGTTTTCACTAAAAGCGGAGCAAAGAGAAATTATACATAAAGTTTTCATTTATATTGGTTAAAAACCTTCAAGATTTATCACTCCAGCATCATAAAGTTCATAAGAGGAAAAAAAAGATTAAATGAACACATGGAAATTCTTTCTATACTCTGTAATAGATATAAAAATTAGAGCAATTTTGCAAGTCATTTTAGATTTGATAAATAAGCTACTTAATAACAGCTAAATAAAATCTGGTATGTTGTGACAGCATCAAAACACACAATGATATTTCAGTACATTTTTATAGTACTATAGAATCTATGTGAAAGGCCATGAAAAATACCCTACGTGTCTCAGAAATTTTCCTTCTGAATACTTACCTGAAGGCAAAATTATTAAAAGGAAAAAGTTATCCACAGATGTCAGAAGAAAATGGTGAAGTATGGACGTCTAGCAACACTGAGAGTATTAACTCAAGAAAAATAGGTGACTCTTGGTGAAACAGTGAGTTTTGTGGCATTTATTTTTATGATTCTCTTTTCAAATAGCAGCCCACATTTCTACTGCCAGAAATAAAATACACTAAGGCCTTAAAGACTGGTTATTATTAGATCTATCTGCTTCTCTGATAGCCACATTATCATGATTATATGTATAATAAAGACCTGTATGTAAAAGATTATTAAATGGCAGAAAGGAAGAGAATCACCAAAAACTATTGCTTGTGTTTGATCACTTTTTGTTTGATTTTGTTGATTGCTTTTGTTGTGATCACACAACATCCAAATAATTTCATATTCTAAGGGATCTCTGGTCTCCTAATAGTAACCTGCACTGCAATCTCAAAGACACATAGTTCAAATGCACCAGCTGGCTCCACAAGAGAAGGTTCGGCAGATTCCTTCGATGTGATTTACTGCCTCTGAAGACCCACTGCAGGGTCATTTATGAGTCGATAGTACAACAACATCAACAACATTTCACAGACTATGTTATAAACATTAAGCAATGTATGACTGTATATTTAAATTTTAAACAAGTACTTCAATTTATAAAAGAAAATTACAGCATGCCAAAGTCAAATTATAGATGAATTGAAAAACTAAATA